AATCGGCCGCCCGGGGACGCGCACACGCACGGCGCCACGCGGCGCACACACGTGCAGGGCGCCTGCCCGCACACCGTGAGGAAGGGGTGAAGCGCTGAGCCCCCTCCTCAGTAACTCAGGCACCACCGAGACACAAAGACACCAAACCAAGGGCTTCTGCCGGAGTCAGCCCAACCGCTCGCCGCAGACCTGACCCCACGCTGCCACAGTGCTTCACGCGGCTGTAGTCCAAAAGGGGTGAGACCCCCATCGCCACCAGAGGCAGAGGAGGAGGGGAGGAGGGGAGAACGATTCTGTTGCTGCTACAAGGCGGCAGCAAGCCCTGGGAGACGCCCTCCACCCTGCGACGGTGGGGGAGAGGCACAGCTCCCTTCCCAGGGGTGAGCCCCAGGGGCGGCCATGAACGGTGTCGGGAGGTGGTGGATGGACCCACGGCTGCAGCCACAACAGTGTTATCTGTTCTGCAGCGTGTTCCCTGGGGATTATCAACTCGTGTTTACCAGTCTGATCAATTTCAAGGTAAGCTCCCTGCAAGTTTCCTTTGTGATGTGCAGAAAAACTGAAAAGTGTGAGCTTAAAAAAAATCTCGAGAACGAAGAGATGAAGAAAGAGATTTCATGGTGTCCTTCACATCGCCGTGGCTTCGGACAACCGCCCCTGCAGGGGACAGGGGAGGACACAGGCACCGCTGTGCGCCGGTGATGGACTCGGGGCAGGAGGGTGCTGGAAACCCTCCTCTCCTGCCAGAAGGCAGAGGGATGGGGCAGAGGGGCAGCAGGCGCTGACGGACTGCTGGCTGTACAGTGGGACGGACCCAGGGTCCATCTCAGCCAGCTTTGGATCTTGGCAGGTGGGAGGGGGATGCAAATTATTTGCCATCTAATTTCTTTTTTCAAACATGGATGCCATAACCACAGAGTAATGTAAACTGGACGGGGCCTTTGCAGGTTACCCACTCCAAACCCCTGCTCAGAGAAGGGCCAGCTTTGACACTGGCCATGCCCAGCCAAAGTGTGGGAATCTCCCAGGACAGAGATTTCACATCATCCCTGGGCCCCTGCTCCAAAGCCTGGCCGCTGCTGCTGCTCAGCCACTGTCTCACCGCGCAGAGCGCCCGACTGCAGTCCCGCTATGCAGCACAACGGTGATGAGCTGTCCTTTAGCCTTATCTTCTCAGGACCGTGTGGCACTTAACACCAGCAGAAACCAGCAGCCTAGCCAAACATGGAACATGCTTGTTACCCAGCTGCTGGCACCTCTGGACTGAAACGCAAAATCGAACAAATAAACAACAGAGAAGTTTTATATGTCACTTCTAAGCTCAATGTGTTGCTCTGGGCCCTAGGGTCTCAGAAGACCCCATGAATCAGAAGCTCCAGAGGCAGCAGAGCTCAACCAGAGCCAATTAAGTGAAGGTGGACATATGTTTGGACACTTTTCACTGCATTTTCTCAGATATCAGGTTTTTGCACTTGTGTTTAGGACAGGAAGAAGCCATTAGGACCATGGGGATGAGCAGTTGTGTCCGTATGATGGCTGCAGGTAATACAACACTCAGGTGATAGAACACGCAGGTGACAGAACATGCCTTCCTCCCTGCAATAATCTTGTGGCAGCTCCTGGTGAGCACTGGCTGGAGTCAACAGGGGGAGTGACCACAACTCCACATCTGTGCCATCTGTCCTGCCAGACTCATCCCAGCCACCAGCTTTCTCCACCAGTCTCCTTTAGCTGGTTCCTTTTGTCACCCAAGCTCCAGGTTTAGGACAGTGTATCATCTGGCCCCTCCCTTTGGTAGAAAATTAAAACAAACCATGATGTTCAGTAAATGTAATGGCATGAGGGACAGGCACGGGATGTTGTGGGACAAAAATGAGAATCCTGGCCAAGAATCATAGAATCGTA